TATGTATAGTCCACTAAAGACTCCCTTTCCTGAGGGAGCAGTTAACACCTGCTGTATGCACATACTACCAAGTACACATCTTTACATCACAGGACTGTCCAGTACACACGAGTCTGGATGTCAAACAGTCATTCACATTTTAAAAAGCTGTGTTGTGTTCCAGTGTGTATCTTGTCCAAAACTGACCTAACTGATCCCTGAGAGACTTGAGCTCATGTTTAAGTATTCAAACAATCCTGTCTGTGGTGTATATTCTAATGCAAACATCTTTTCACAATTTGGGAGTTCACATTTTGATAAATATCACCAAAGTTCTTTACACAAAGTTCCCAGGTTATATTCCCACCAAAAGAATCTATTTGCCCAAACTAATGGCAATTTACTTTAAAGAGCAAGTGACTTTAAGGTGAAAAACTGTGTTTTTAATCTGAGATGTAATTTTAGTAGACAATTAAACTGAATAATTAAATAATGCCTAGAGTACAAAGTTTTTCTTCAAAAATCTAACCGGTTTATTGTTCAGGTCCTTGCAGAAAGGCCTGAAAGGCCCACATTTTTACTTTTGTGATCTTAAATGAAAGCGTTTAATGTGCCCTCATTATGCCTGCCTCATCGCCACTCCTGGAGGTGCTATTTCTGGAGGTAGCAATGCCCAAGTACTACATACTGATCTTAGCAAGAAAGTAGAAACATCTTCATTGGCTGTGCTATTTTGTGTCTGTTTCACTTTCTATAAAAAGTTATACCTATAATCTTCAATACAGACATAAATTAAGACTGAAACACAGAAATCGAACTCAGACTTGTTCTCTTTTGTGGTTTTAAATGACTTTCACATGATAAAAGAACTCAGCATATGATCTCTATTTTGCTAACCTACACAAATGTACACTCCCATGGGACAGTGCTGAATGCACTCTGCTCTGGACTTCCAAATGATCTACTAACAAAATCCCCAACCAATTTATAATAGACACAATCTAAGTAGAGCAGTCTAAGTACTTGACTCTTTACTAGCCCAAAAACTTGAAAGGAAGAGGTAGAGGTTTACCTGTGTGTGTTCGTAGATGTTTCTTTAGCTGAGACACATCCATGAATTTGCGATGGCAGTGGTTGCATTCCGGTAATGAGTGGCCTTGTCGCAACAATAAAAAAAGTGTCAGTGCATATATGCTCTCCCTGCATTTCTTCAGTGATTTGTGTTAAAGCACTTCCCTGAAAAATAATCACTTTAAATATGATACTTTAATATGACAATATTTTTCAAAATTAATTTGCTAACAGTAGATATTTTCCTACATATCTCAACTGTTTTCCCAAGAAAGCTGGACCCTTCCAGTCTCCCTATATGTAAAAAGTTCCTGCTGAAGTACTCATGTGAGTGGTCAATTAATCTCCAATTGCAACCCCCTGCCCCATTCATTTCTTATCAATTGACAAGGAAGGAAAAAGGACAAGGCTTAGAGGCAGGTGGGAGAAGCCTGGACTGACAGCTGGGCAGGGATGTCTCTGCCCAGGTGCCACTCAGAGCCAACTGGCTAGAGGCACTTTTGAAAGGCACCAATTCTACAGAATAATATAAGGACATTTCATTAAGAGTGCTTTTTGAGATTCCCCTCCCCCCACATATAAATGCCCCTAAGACTCATTTCATTTATCTTCTACTTCTATATGAAAATATGTATTTGCACTTCTCTCCCAGCAAGTTCAATTTTCTCTCACTTTAATAGTATACCTGTATGAACTCGGTAATGGCTCTTTAGTTGTCTTTTCTGGCTGAAATATTTTCCACACTGATCACAGGTAAAAGACTTCTGTCCTGCCGAATGAAAAACATCATACTAAAATAGCAAAGGTATGATAGGCATAAGGGAGCAGAGACCAAGGTAGAACTGGGTAACTCAAGCTTCCCCTCAAAGGCATCCAAAGGCAAATAATTCTAGGCTCTGGTAGTTAAACAAACATGACTGCCCCCTGCAATTCCAGTAGCCAGTTTAGAAGCCCCAGTTTAATGTTCAGTGTTGTCCAGGACTGACTTTCCATTTACACTCTGACAGCTGCGTGATCCTATTTTTCCACGACACCATGTAGGAAGTGACACCATATAGATCCTGATCATTGTCATGGCCACCATGACAATGAGAACTTACTGGCAGCTGGTCCTTGGGATAAGCCTGTTTACCTGAGTGCAGGCTCATGTGCTCCAGCAGCGAGTGCTTGGTGGTGAGAGCCTTGCTGCACACGGTGCAGGTATACGGCCGCTCGCCCCTGTGCATCCTGGTGTGGACCTGCAGCGAGTGCTTCTGGGCAAAGCCTTTTCCACACTCATTACATTTGAAAGGTCGCTCCCCTGGAATCAGAGCCCAGAAAAACAGTGTAAATTAAGAATCTGTACATCTGTATTTTCCCTCCCAAATTAAAATGTCACTAAAGCATATAGCCTAAAGGTCAGTGGGGGGGAGAATAACAGTAGTAAAAGTGCGCAAGTTGAAACAGACAAATCTGGAACAGATACCAGCAGTGAGGGGCACTGAGATCACCTCAGTATTTGAGACTTGTAAGGCTCAGGAAGTGGTGGCACCTGGTTCTCTCTACTGGGAGCCAGGGAGGATAACTGAGTGTACTTCAAAGGTAGACTTCCCAGGCCCTTTGTCCTATTCCAGGCAGCCAGGAAACACTTTTTCCCAAACAGAAGAGGACAAAACAAAGGATTGGTGGATCAGGGCCTTGGGATAAGCACAGTAGAGCTAGACTATGAAAAGGAAAGCGTGTCAAAGTGTATTTGGGAAGATGAAGACTCCCCTTTTGCTCCAGCCTTTCTCCCCATTCCATTCTGCACTAAGGCTTTGAGGTAGAGAGTATAGTCTGAACTTGAAGGGCCCGAGGTGAAAGGGATACCAGGGATCAGAAGGTAGTGGGGGCTTGCCATCATCTACAGGCCCTTTCAACATGGCAGAGTTGCCTACAGCCTTTAATTATTCTTGTGTGATTAAGTATGAATTAAAAAATATCATCAGTCAGGGAAAGCCTTTAACAATTTAAACCGATACCAAAACAGACAAGAAAGCCAGAGACTTGCAGAGAACAGACACTGCCCACGGTGAAGAAATGTTGAACACTAACAAGTAAGTGAGGAGTATAACTCATATGCTCAGAGGTAAGAAATTACATTGTGAAACAGAAAGAGAATCTTAATAAAACAGTATTAGAGAAAGAACTCTTAGAAGTGTAAGTAGTAGAAATAGTATAACTGTACGCACAGAAAGATAATGTGGCAATCTACCAGGAAGTAGAGCAAAAAAGAATGGAAAGTTTGAAAGGGGTCCGAGGGTTTATGTACACACAGTGGGAGTTCAAGAGAGAACAGAGAGGAGAAATCATCTATAAAAGAGTTAAAAATGTTCTGGAATAAAAGCCAGGAGTATCTACTGGTCTCCACCCAAATGGAAGTGATTCACTGCAATAGGCAGCACCTATATGCTATTTTCCTTAAAATGCCATAAACGCCGGCTCTATTACAGTGCAGCGAATACTTCTCAGGTGTCTACTTGTCCCATGTGAAGAACCAGAATTCAGGGTGCTCACCTCATCTGTACTAAAAATTCCTGGGGAGCTTTTTATAAACAAGATGCCTCCAGAAAATGAAATCAGGAACTCTGTGGGTGTGGCCCCACTGGCAGTTTTAGTAACTCCCAGGTGCTGCTTGTATGTGGCTAGGCTGAGAATCAGCCTGCTGGATGAGAGAAAGCTACACACCATTCCTACACTTATTAAGTCAAGGGGTATTTAAGTGGCAGTTTAAAGAATGAGCTAAGTATATGAGAGGGCTGAAAGGAGGAAGGGATTTCTGGTTAGGGGTACACTGTCCAAGAGTGGCCACTTAAAATAGAACATTCAGTTCCTTACACTTGTCACATGTCAAGTGCTCAAAATCCATGTGGCTAATCGTGACAGCACAGACGCAGAACATTTCCATCATCACAGGGTCTCTTGGCCAGCGCTGGCCTAGAGGGACTAAAAAAGAGGAAGACATTTACAGCTCGATAGCTAAGCAAGAAAGCTGTGCAGACAGACCTGGGCCAAAGCACAGCTATGGTAAAGGTGAGGAACATTCAAGAGTCAGACGGCAGAATGAGTTTGGCTCTAGCTCGTGATACAATGCCTTGAACCAGAAACTCTAAATAAATGTTCTCAAATTAGGCCACCTGGGCTCATATCCCTGCTCTGTCGCTAAAGGGATGATCTGGCCAAGTTAATTAATTTTCTAGCACTTGGCATATTTAACTTTACAGTGGGAATACTAACATCTCTCTCAAAGGATCATTGTGAGAAATGCAGTAACATGTATAACAGCTTTATTGCAATGCCCATGACATAGCAGTTGCATGATAAATGAAAGCTAGGATCATCACTACTATTCCAAAACACATTCCATTGAGCTGTGAAAGTGTAATTACCCGTGTGACTCCTCTGGTGGATAGCTAAAAAGTGATTGTACTTAAAGACTTTGCCACAGTCTTTACATCGGGCCTCAGGACCACTGGAGCGCTTTCTCCTTCCACAGACCTTCTTCGCTGAACCTTGGTCATCTTCATCCCCAGTAAGTTTGTAATCTTTAAGTTTGACAGATCTCCGGATCCTCCGCTTGCTGTACCGACTCCGGCTGTCCTGTCCATCCTGGCTCTTGGGATCACAGTTCTCATCTTTTTCAGCAGGCATCTCCTCCCCTACAGCTGGTCCAGAGTCTTCCATTTCTTTTGCAGGAATCTGTTCATTCATTATGCCACTGCCTCCCTCTTTAATCACAAAGTTCTGTCTATTTTGAACTGAATTGTTCTCTCTCAGCTGTATTTCTTCTTCTGTGGCCAGTTCTGATTTCCCCTCCTGCACATTGTTGACTTTTCTTGGCCTTCCCCGTTTCCGCTTTGGAGGATCATTTTTCTTATTAGAAATCACCACCACTGGAGCACCAGCGCTGTTCAAGGTTGTTGGTACTGGGGAACTATGGTTACTCTGAAAGTCTGTGTAAGCTTTTACCAGGTCGTAGACCTTTAAGAATTGAGCAGTTGCCAAGATCTGTTCTGTACTTTTCTCATTCGCCTGGAGATAACCTGTGTAGATAAATTCCAGCAGGATACCAAATGTGTCAGCAACCATGCCTTCCAGCATATAAATGGACTGGCCAATTTCCCGCTCTTCAGCAAACATCATTGAGAAATATTCACTGCTGGCAGCAAGTAAGGCTTTGTGGGCCCGGAAATGCACATTCTCCACGATTAATGTAATATCACAGAGAAAGCCTTTCTTCCTCTGATCCTCAAAACTGGCCAGGATCATGTTACTGTGAGTGTCTGAACGTACAACAAGCTGCCCAGGTGGCTCTGATGATGTTTCTGCCATTTTCCTTAGAAATCAAGAAATAAGAAATGTTTACAGTGAAATTGAAAATGTTTCTATAGAAAGAAATGTCCTAAAAAGTTAATTCCTGCTCAAAAAAAACCTACTTTCCCCATTGTTAAAAGGGATTTTACCATTTGCCACTTTTTAAATAGATTTAAAAACTCTGTTTTGGCCCCTCATTTCTGTTGTTCTACTTCCTAGCTGGGTGCACTTCCAACATTTACGTTACCTCTCAGGTCGTTTCCTCCTCTGCAAAATGATGGGGCTGGTCTCCACCATCTCTCTATGTCCTTCCCAGCACTAACTTTCCACAGTTGCACAAACACCGGAATAAGACCCAGTTCACAAATTACTGTGCCGAGGTCACAAACTACTGAATCTTGTCTTTGAGAACAATTATGATGCGAAGGGGCACAACATGTACACGTGCTAGTAAATTCTGGGGCGGTCGCGTACAGTGTAAGGGTCACCGGGCCTTGCTTTGGAAGGGCGACATGGACCGGTCCCACGGGCTCCTGCTACCGCGCGCGGCGCGGCGGCGGGCAGGGCTACTCCTCCGAGCGCCGGGCCAGGAGCGGGAGGCGCGGCAGGGCGACCCACGCCCGCAGTCCCGGACCCGCGGGTGGGACCCCGGAGCCGATGACTGGGCGTGGTGATCACGGCCGCGGGTCTCGCGCCACGCACGGCTCGCCCGGGGCCGACCTACCTCTCGCGGCGCCCTGCGGGTCGCGACCGCGACCTACCCACCCGGCGGCCTGCGGGAGCACCCACGCGGGGCCCACTCTGGCCCCTCACAACACCGCGGAAAGCCGCCGCGGGCCCGCACCACAGAATTCTCAGCGCCACGGCTGCCGCCCCCAACCCGGAAGCGCCAGGCGCCGCTGCGCCGAGACGCTGGACCACGTGGCGCGTGAGGGGCCCTGCGCGGCGGGGCGGGGCCTGAGGGCGGGGCGGCGCTGGCTGGAGAGCCCGGAGCTCTTCCTGTTTACTGTGTCGGGGCCTCCGCGGACGGAAATGGCGTTCTTGCGCTGCTGTTCGCAAGCTTTTTCTTTCAATAGATAGACCGTTAGCGCTTCACCGACTACTTTATTAGTCCTTGTCTGTGCCTGGGTGTTGAAGCTGACTTTAAGGTCTTGAATTTGTGGGCAGAATATCAAGATCACAGTCTGTTGATAATACTATTGATAAATATTATTCAGCCTTTTCTTAACTCTTTCTTCACTAGACTGTTATGGGATTCTAATTAGTCCTGCTGACAGCGATGTTTTGTCTAAAATGCGTTCCTCCAACCACCTCCAGAGACTGGATTTATCCCCCTGCTTAGCATCAACTGTGGCTCCTACGGTGCCTTCCTGACGGATGTTGTTTTTCAGAGTTCCGTGTTCTTGGGTTCACTCTGGGGGAGGTTTCACCAGAGCTTTTCAGTGGGACAAGTAAGATTCTTTAGGAGACAGAGACTCAGTTATATTTAAAGAGTAAGTTTATTAGAGACAGGAGAGGAAAAGACACTTGCATAAGTGCAAGTGGGCAGGAAAAGCTGCCAAGGAAGGGACAGGTTTGCAGAGAGAGGCCTGTATGGTTGCAGGCAGACAGCCTAAGATGAGAGTGGCCGCCGCTGGGGGAGGTCAATGCAGAGAAGTCCCAGTCTGGTCCCTGGCAGGCACGGAGGCTACCTCCCTGCAGAGGGAGAGAGCTGGTAGAGGGGACACCTACACCGTCACAGGTGGGCAGAGGACTACTGCCCCTGGCTGGTGCAGAGACTGCCCTGATATAGGCAGCTTCTCTTTGGGAGGGGCTCACTCCTTGTGAGCCTATATAGAACTTGAAAGGATGGGAGATTTCCTGATGAACTTCCTCTCTGTCTTTGTCTTTTACCTTTTGGGTCTGAGCTTCACACTCTGCCCCCAACAGTCTGTTATCTGCTGGGACCTCTTGGAGACATCCAGGCATCCCCGGCATCCCGGACATCCTGGACATTGGGCTTTGGTGCCTGGGGACCTTACTTTTATGGCTGTGTGGGTTGCTGCACTAGCCCCTTCTATCTGTCCCCTTTGTGCGACTCAATCTTGTGATGCCTCCCCTGCATGCTTTCCTCCATCACTGATAAATAACACACTTTATGTGATCTAAAAGGCCCTTCCAAGTCTAGTTCCCTCCCATCTTTCTCTCCAACTATTTCAGCATTTTCTCTCTTAATTTATCTTTGCCAGTACCAAATTGCATATGCTATATCCCCTCTTTGTAGGCTATGATGGTTGGCTGATAACTGCAGTTGAAAAAATAAAAATCCTAGACTCAATTTTTGAGGGGAACACAAGAAGAATTGACAATATTCAATGCCAAAAGGCAACTGTTATAGGGACTACGAAGCACTTTTAGGGATCTCTCTGGTTTCTAGCCCCTGTATCTCTTGCAGTACATGCTGGTGGATATAAGTCTGCTTATGTTTTTAGGTCCTATTATAGACGGGGAGAGTGCCTTGTAAATATACATGAGTATATATTCTTGGCTCATTGGTTTGGCGAGTTTATGGGTTCATTAATTTCTGGAATGCCTTTTACCCTATAACTAGAATGTCAGTTTTATTTCTCTAATTTTATCTGCCTAGATTCCAAAAGGTTCCTTTAATTCAGATACCTTTTTAATAATTCTTCCCCGAGGCCCTCCCTGGTGGCTCAGCGTGTTAAAGCACAGCATTAAGTAGCTAAAGCCACTTCCGCTTGAGTTCAATCCCCGCCTCCCCCGGAGGTGACCCACAGGGTGCAGCAGACCTCTCCTGACCCGCCCACTGCTCCCCTCAGCAGTGCACTTTGTCGATCTGCCTGTTCTGCTCCCCACTGTCTCTGGTGAATCCTATCACCCTTCACATCTCTGGCCTGTACCCCAGTTCTGTATAAATAAATCAATCAATCTTTTAAAAAAAAAAGAATTCTTCCCTGAACCACCCAAGATTAAGGAATCTCAGCTTTCATGGATATACGTCTACTCAGATCTTCATGTATTCAACCAACCTACCCGCCCACCCACCCACCAAAAAATATCACCTACACTGGACAAAGCATATGTAAAAGGTATCTTTCATTCTTCCCTTATTCTTGAACACATTCTTTCCATATTCCTTCCTTTTACTACTGAATACATGGAAACTTTTATTAAGTGAATTGAGAGTAAAATGAAATATACATAATAAATTGAAAATGTTTGAAAACTACAGTACTATTACTGCTTCACTCAAGGAATATAAGGCCCTTAGACACTCAGAATATTCCTTCATTGTATTTGGGGACATTTATAATATATGCAAGAATCATTTCTAAACAAAAGGGCAATTTCAATAAGAAATTTTAGAATTATATGTGTTCTTTCATTGCTGAAATGCTAATTCTGTCAGTGACAGATTGCTTGACTTAATCTGTTGGAGAAAACAACTTGTTAACATTACCGGTGAGGTGTAAATGCATGTAGGAGGGATTGGCACAGGCTCCAAAGAGATTTTCTTGAGGACACTTTTTGCATTCTAAAGTATACACACGCGCGCACACACACACACAAACTTTGTGACAGTTGCATTAATTAACTTGATAAAGGTGTTTTATAAAATATGAAATAATACTATGCCAAGTAATCATGTATATTTTAAAATATATAATTTTGTCATTTATAGCTCAATAAAGCTGAAAAAAGGAGCTGATTTGACTCATTTTTAGAGATTAAGAAACAGCCTCAGAGAGACTGAGATTTGCCTAGTTTCACCGTTAGTGGTTGTATTTTTGATTTTTTAAAGAGTCACTCTTTCTATTTCACAACTTCAAGTTTTTATGTTGCTGCTGAATGGATACTCTTATTTTTTAAATCTAGTTAAAATTTAATTCATAAGTTTTCCTCTAGAGTGTACTTGATATTGTCATTTCTAATTGCAAAAAAAATGCTTACGATTACTGGCTTCCTCTAATAAAGAAAAAGTAAACAGGCAACCATTTAAGTTATCTCAAAATTCATTTATTTTGTGGGGAAAATAATAAAGTTTCTTACATTTATAAAGCTTCCAAACAACTCCTATATGAAAAGTATAATCAACATTTCTTACATCACCATTAATTTTCTTTCTTGAAGCTTTCTAACAATAAATGAGTAATTTTCTTTAGCAGAAACTGACTTTTCTACTGAAAACGTAAAAAGAGAAAAAGGAACAATAAGCTTTATTACATATGTTACCTAAATATTCGAAATGGAGTTCTAAATGGAATAACTACTTTGTAAAAGTATCAACGTTCAGGCTAAAAGGAACAAACTTTAAAATGATATTAAATGTGTGCTTAGGAAAGAGCACTGCTTCCTGCTTGGTGGGGCTTTGAGTCTGTTTGAAGGCTGGCAGGGGTGGTGCTTCATTCAGGAGGGAAAAACACATCAGAGAGGATCAGATCTTCAATCTGCTTCCTTTTGAGATTCTGGTTGCAGTTACCAAGCAAGCTATTCATTAATTGGGTCTATATTTCTGAGAGAGACAAAGGTCTGTAATTTACGATCAAAGTCAATGGCTCTAAACTGAGGTTCCTTGTATTTTTTGGTCATCTTGGAGCTCAGGTAAGTGATGAGTTCACACCTCTCTATAAAAAGCTCCATCTTCTTCTTGTACTTTTTTCTTGAATATTCAGAACCTTTGGGATTAAAGGCTGTAGAAAATTTCACAGAACTGTGAATATTTTCTGTTTGGTTAGTGAATCATTAAACAGAAAGAGAATGTGTGAGTTGTAAAGTTATAGCAGAGAAGATAGCCAAATCCAAATAAGCGTTGGGGATTATTCTATTTTAGATCATAATCACTTCTATACACCTTGCTCTGTGGCATGAATTACTGAGAGCTGACTGTATTACTCATGCTTCCTGCTTTAAAAAGCAGAAATTCAGTTTTAGATTTTCATTAAAATCCTCTCTCCCTTACACACACACCCCACATCCAAAAATCAACCCACCTCAACAATCTGATAGAACACATTCATTATATGCATAAGTAGATATAAATTAGTTCTGAGTTCATTAAAAAGGGCATACCTTTTAGATGAAGTGCTATAAAGAGTAGCACAGATCTTTTTACACTTAAGAAAGGGAACTTGGGCTTTATGCATCCTGCTGCATTCATCGCTTTAATCAGAGAAGTTGCAATGCCCTGCAGGTAGGAAACAGCTTCAGTTTGAGTTTGGTCTCTTTTCTCCATAGCAAATAGATAAAGAAGCTATTCTTCAACTCAAATGGCCTCTTGGGGTTGGATTTTAAAAGGTGGTTATATGACCACTTAGCTAACAGCTAACAAAATAAGTTGACCTTTGAACAACTTAGAGGTTAGGGGTGCAAATTCCTACCCTACCCCCAGTGGAAAGTCTTCATACAATGTTTGACTCCCCCCAAAATTTAACTACTACCTTACTAATAATACATAATCAAATAACACATATTTTGTGTTATATGTATATACTGTATTCTTACATTAAAGTTAGCTAGAGAAAATATTACTATTTTAAATACTTTTTCTACTTATGAATATAAGAACTGGGGTGTAAGCCAGAGGTACTGGAGGTGAGGATTCATCAGAGACAGTGTGGGGAGCAGAACAGGTGGATCTACTGGAATACACTGCTGAGGGGAGCAGCAGGAGAGACAGAAGAGGTCTGCTGCCCCATGTGGGTCAGCTCCCTGAACAGGATTCAACCGCAGATGCTGGCTGGTGATAGCTTGATAGCATCGAGACCTTAACCCCTGCATCACAAGGGAGGCCCAGAAAAGAAAATATTATTAAGAAAATCATAAGTGGATCATCATAAAGATCTTCATTCTTGTCATTTTCACCCTGAGTAGAAATGAGAGGATGTAGAAGAGGGTGGGATGGGAATAAAAACATCCAGGAGCAAACCCACATAATTCAAACCCATATTGTTCAAAGGTTAATTATAATTTGATTAAAAAGTAAAAAATGGGCCCTCCCTGGTGGCAGGTAAAAGCACAGCACTAAAAACTAAAGCCACCTCAGCATGTGTTCGATCCCCACCCTGGGAGGTGGGAGGTGACCACATGGTGCAGCAGACCTCTCCTGACCTGCCCGCTGCTCCCCTCAGCAGTGTACTTCAGTCTGCCTGTTCTGCTCCCCACTCTGTCTCTGGTGAATCCTCTTACCACCCCTACCTACACCTCTTGCCTGTATCCTAGTTCTGTATGCATAAATAAATCTTTTTTTAAAAAAGTAAAAAATACTTTTTAAAGTATTAAAGGGGAGTGCTTTGAAGCTGGCTGCAAGCACTGCAGCATGAGTTCGATCCCCGGCCAGGCTGTTGACCCACATGGCGTGCCAGACCTCTCTTGTCTAGTTGGCTGCTCCCCTCAGCAGTGTTATTTCAGTCAAACTGCCTGTTCTGTTCTCCACTCTGTCTCGGGTGAATCCTCTCACCCTCCATACCTCTGGCCTCTACCCCAGTTCTTATATACATAAATAAATCTTTTAAAAAATTACACATTGGCTTAGTGTTAACTGGGTGAATGATACATGAGCTTCTTTACATAATTATCTCAACTTTTATATGTCTGGCGTTTTCCATAATAAAAAGCCAAAAAGAAAGAAGGGAACACTGAACTCAAGAGTTGGCTTGGCCACTCCATCTCCATGGCTCAGAAGTGGACTGGTTACCTCCCAAGAGGACCCCTGACTATCTGACAAAGAATTCTGGAGGCCACAGTTATCCCTGCAGCTGAGATTCTGGAGCACAGAGGGGAAGATGTGAAGCTCTCCTGAGGAGAGCTCAGCTGTGGTTGAGCCTCATCTTGCATTTTGACATTAAAATTGAAGGCTACCCACCCAAGTAATCTGAACATAAATTTGTGAAAAAGGTCTGAAATTATGTCCTAGGCATTTCTTTTACTGAATTAAAAACGTAAACTTGTAAGTAGTTGCTGGCTGCTGCTAAATTTTAAAATTACTATTACTACTCTTACTATATCATTGTGTTCTACTGATCGGGTATTTAACATGTACTTCACATTATGGTAAGTGCTTTGCCCAAATGTCACCTGACCATGCGACTCTGTCGGCTGTGTGGCGCTCTCTCTTTTTTTGTAGGTGAGGAAGTGTCAACCTACAGAGGTTCAGCACTAGCCTAGGGTCAGGTAGCTGAGTTGATATTTGAGCTCAGCTAAGGCCCCAAAGTCCGTGCAAATCAGTAACTGGTGTTGGGTTTTACTACTTTGTGTAAGCATAAGTATTTAGGTAAAGAAAATGAGAGTCGAAGGCTTCATCTGGACTTTGGGAAAAATCTGGATTTGGTGGGTCAGTTGTAAAAGAACTGTACTTTAGCAACCCAAGCGATGAGCACATATCTCAGAGGTGGAAGCTGCACGATTCCAACTAAAAAAAGTGTTACAGACACTGAAATTCATAATTAGGACCAAACTATAAATCAGATGTAAAATATTGTGTGACAATCTATTTTCCCTTCACTTTAGGGTATATATTTGAGGATTATCACTTCCCTTCACTTTAGGGTGTATATTTGAGGATTATCAATGAAAGGTGGGCTTTTTATCTCACTTTTTATTTCATGAACACATAAAAAACAGGTAATGGGTGATCTAACATCTTCAAATTAAGAAAAAAAATCTCTCCAATGAATTTCATTGTTACCAAAATAAAAAACAAAAATTGTTAAAGAATTGTACTGTTCTCTCTCTCTCTCTCTCTCTCTCTCTCTCTCTTTCTCTCTCACACACACACACAATATGTTATTTCAAAATTTATTTATTTTGTTGGGAAAATGATAGTGTCTCATGTTCATGAACCACTAACCTGCTCCAGATAACCAGGCAAAGGAAGACTAGTAAGAGGTATTGGTTCCTTTAGTGGAGGAAGTTTATATGGAAGCCTCTGGTTCCAGTATTTCAGTGGAAATCTAAGAACACAAAGTTTGATAGAGGTTCTAAAAAAATACTCACTGTATACACACACACACAGTATATATGTATATATTGTGTTTATATATATATTTAGTATGCATATACTGTGTGTATATATATATTGCATATATGTGTATATATATCCGTATTTGCAAATATATATATTTGGGAATGTAGATATAGAAAGGGTAATTTAAAGTGGTGATCAAAAGGTAGTTATAGGAATATTGATATAAGCTGTACACCTGAGACTTTAAAAAAAAGAACAAAGTAAAACCAATCAATCAATCAATCAAATAAAACAACACAAAAATAAACTCTTAGATTATGAGAACCAAATGGTGGTTGCCAGAGGGGAAAGGGGGGGGGAGGTAGGCAAACAGGGTAAAGAGGGTCAATGTTGTGGCTGTAGGTGGAAAACTTTTGGTGGAGATCATAATACAGCATATATAGATGTGAACTCCTGATATAATGATGTGCACCTGAAACCTATATGTTATAAATCAATGCTACTTCAAAAAAAAAAATCAGGTTCATTGCTCATTTTTCCTGCTGGAGAAAGAGAAATAAGTGGGGAGACTGGAGGCCCTAAAAATTCATAGCCATCAGTTTCACCTGGCTCCCAGCCCTGCTTAGCTATTCTCAGTTGAATATTTTTTTCACAGCAGTTATATAAAACTTTCTCTATTCTCCTCAAATTGTCAGTTCTCCCAAGTCACCCCTGCTCAGAGGCTGCGACACACAAGGAGAGGCCATCGCATGGAATGTTCTCACTGCACAGGCAGAGGCACCTGCGAGTTCCTCTTTCCATGGCAGAGTTCACCTCCCCACCATGGTTAGTTCTCCCCACCCCCATACTTTGGCCCCTCACTACCTCTTCTCTCCAGAGAGGGTATCTTATTATTCAATTTCTCTCCATCTCGCTCTCTCACCTTTGGCATTTTGTTTTTAAGTGGATCTTTCCCAGGCATTTAAATATGCTCATACCTTCCCCATCAAAAAAGAAAACTAAAAGGTCACTTCATTCCTTCAATCCTACATCATTTCCAGCAACTAATGTCTCTTCTCCTAATGGCAAACTACCCACAAACCACTGCAGAGATGATTGGATCCACATGTTAAATTTTTTTTTTATTCAGTCACAGTGTTTTAAAAGCCAGGACAACTCCTTGTGTACAACAAGAATGCCTGGTAGTGACTGCATCACTGCTGCTCCTTTAGCTGCAGCAAGAGTGATCCAGTTTACAGCAGCTCCCCAAATTTCACTGCCAATGGCTTCCCTCAAGCACTTGATCTCCTAAGTTGCAAAGGACCTGTGCACACATCTGTTTGCAACCTCTGGGCTAATTATGGCAAGGTCTTAAATTCCTCACCTGGTGTCTAGACCTCCGCACTCTGTAACTGCTTCCACTCACCTCACCCTACTGAAACAAACCATTCTTGTCACGGTGGCCAATGACCTGATCTGCTTTCAAATCCTGTCTTGCTTGACCTCTAAGCAGCTTGTAGGCCTGTTGGTCAGGCCCCCCCAGACACTCTCATTCTCCCCCTTTACTCCCTTTCACGTCACTCTCCCTTGCAAACTCTTCTGACATTTTTGTGTTGTTCTTTCTCAGGGCTGGTCCTCAGCCTGTAGCTTTACTCACACCACTCTTCATGCCTTCATGGTGCTTTTCGGATCAAGTTGAAATGTTACCGTGATTGCAGCTGACATTCCATATGCTGGCCTTGTTCACCATCTCCTTTTCTTCTGGCCCTTTCGATCTCCATGTCCCATTAGAACCAGGTTGGAATTTCTTGTAGTCCTGTGATCCCTTGCACCATTCCCCTTTTAAGTCCCTCTTTCCCTTCATCTAGTCAATTCCCATTCCTCCTTTAGACCTTACTCTAACAGGAAATTCAGACTTTTTGGTCCCTCTCTCAGAACTCTGGGCATTTCCCACCCTAAATCCCTTCACATTCTGTTGTTATCAGGTTCCAAACATCTGTCTTACCCTGAAGCCATCGATTTTGGGACAGCAGGGCCCATCCTAGTTCACCATCAGATGAGTATGTATGTGTATATGGGTGTATGTGCATGTTCTATGTGTGTACACATGTATGTTTCCCAGTATGGCAGATTGAACAAAAACATTCATTAAATATTTATGACAAAGAAAATTCCTACCTCAAAAATTTCTCGAGTTTTTCCTTACTCTCACAAATATATATACGATCACGGTATTCTAAAGCATAGTTAATGCTACCAGGTACTAGGGCTTCATATCTGAAATACAAACACAAATTGCTATTGTATAATTAAGATGTAGTACTATTAGGTAGAATGCCAACAATGTTCTAGTTTTCTACAAATGCGACTCGGTGAAACAGAACATTTGCCATTTAAATACTAGTGACCTTTTGACTAATAGAGATTCTTCTATGAACCACTTATCCTGAGTAGGGATTCCACCCTGGACTTCTCTCAGGCAAAGACGTGCCTTTGCTTTCCATCCTCGTAGGTCACGGGGCAGTAGCCCTGGAGCTCAGCACACTTTGGGAATCGACTCTTCAGTTCTGACAGCGTCAGCTTTTTGGGCATCATGTTGGCAGATGGGAGCGGATGAGGGGCTAATGGAGGCACATATAATTCTGGGTTCTCCAAAAATTTCTAAAAAAGGATTTAAAAAAAGGATCAAGTATGGATGACAGCACTAAGACCATTTAAAAGAGGAATATCATGTTAATCAAAAATCCACTGAAGCCCTCCTGCTACTCTCCCCATTCTCAGTGACAAGGTTTGGTCAGTGCAGCTAAGAGTTGCTCCCTGGCTGGCAGTTCATTTACTCAGAATCACACCTAAGGTCTCTCCTAATCTCACTCACTCATCCATTCGTACAAAACCATTTGTTGAACTCCTGCTATGTGACTGGTGCTAGAGAGTGCACCATCCTCCCCACCCCCCACCCCATCTTCCTGTCCTGTGGTGTCACTAGCTAGGTGGGTGCCCTTTGTCAGATGAGATAAGCCCTTCAGCTTCAGTTATCATTGAATATATGGAAAGGACAGATGATCTCTGTCACTTCCAGTTTCAAAGTTCTGCAATTACCCTTTAAATTAGCAAAAAGAAATATCTCCTTAATAATGTCATCAAAAACTTCTATTTATTCAGAGGAAAATAAAATGTTTAGAGGCATCTGGTTAGTTTCAACTAATAACCTCTTTCTATAATATCAGAATAAATTCGCATTCTGTTCCACTTAGCAGAACAGGGTAAGTAAGGTTTATAGTAGGGCATAGGTAACACATTTTTAAAATCATAGGCGACATTAAGTCAGTTCTTGCTTCATTTCTACTGACTTTGACTTCCTTTCAGTACCCTTGGGTACCCACTGTGGGCTGAACCCCAAGGCTAAGCCTCCCCTTTACTGGTGGAGCTTATTGTTGGGTCTTCCTACCTGTTGACCTAGCCCAAGCCAGGGGTCTATCAATGACCCTGAATTTCTCTTTTGTGCCAAAATATGTCCTGGGAGGCAGCGTCAGGAGTGACTTCTGAATTGCTTCACTGGATCCAGAGTCACAGGTTCCAATAACAGGGATCCTGGCCCCAAGTTCCTGGGTCCTCTTAGCGGTGCCCACCCCTACTTTGATGAATTCTTAGACAGACATTTTCCTCCCCTAGCTAACCGTTTGGACTTAGGAACAAACTTACATTCAGTTTTTCTTGAGAACTCATTTTGTAATAGTGTCCTCTGAACTCAGCTGCAAATTCCAAGGACTCAGTTTCAGAGCAGTCAATTAATTCATATGATTCTGCCAGGCTGACAGGGCAGAACTGTCCAAATTCACCCAGACGAGAAGCAAGCTCCTGAGGTGTGATACATAACTTGTCGATGTGGGCAGCTTTTCCTGTTATCAACATATTAACTATTACATATTTCTTCATTGAAAACACAATTAAAATAACTGAAATTCTATAAATGCGTACATAATGTAGATTCCAAACAATGGAGTAAAGAGTTTCTCTGACATCTTTCCATACCAATTGATATGATTAACCTAATTACTTCTAATTGACATGTACTATTCTAGTGTATAATGGTATTTACAGTTTATTTAACCACCTGTTGATGAATTTTTTAATTCTTAGCTATTATGTATATACACCTACCCTATATATATGTTAAAAACTATATACACATACACTCATACACACATAAATTTACTATATGTTTTTTAATTTCTGTGGGATAGATTTCAGAATAGTTTGTTAAAATGATTATTATGGATATCACTTCTCCTTGTGTCCTGGTGCCATCCCAGAGGAGGGAAGAAATATTTTTCCCCCAAAATGACTAGGTTTGCCCTAGAGATTCTATTTTAACAAGAAAGAAACTTAACTTTTTCAAAGGACAAGTTTAAGGATTTTCTCCCAATATTCCAAAGTAATATGTTATAGGGAATAAATTTACTTTTTAAAATACATCTATCTATAAGGAGTAAATTGTGATACCAATCAATATATTTTACTAAAGGTCCCTTTCACCAGTGACAAGTTTTGCCTTTTTGTTGTTCTCATTTTTATGCCTAAGAAGGTCTTAATTAACTATAACATTATGAAGCAGAAAAATCATAGTTTGGTTTGTTATGTGACAATGTAAACCTATTAGATTTCTCCTAAGGATAGAAATGATCTCATCTCAGGTGTATTTTTAGAGACTCTTGGGACTAGATTTATTGGCTAATACAAAATATTTTAGAATTCAGAACAACATCACACCTTCACAGGTTTAGGGCAGTATTCTGTTAGTTATAACATTAATTTTATCTAACAAAACAGGTTGACTCTTCCTCATTCACCATGGTATGTAAAGACTATAAATAGTCTAGACTCAGCTCATTACAGGATTTGCCCCAAACAACGTATGAATAAACTTTTAGAGGCTTCCAGAAACGCAAGTCAGAAGGTGGACTTCCTCGATGACTGAGCATCAAGATGGTACATGCTTCTGATACCAAATACCATACACACCTCCCAAAATGGCTGGGCCTAGACATGAAAAGGTGATGGCTAAAGCCAGATCCAGAGAAGGTTCCACCACACAATCCTGCCACAGTTGTGTTTTAAACAGGGAATGGGGGAGGAGAAAGAAGCACTTTCAAAATAAAGCCATCTTTATTAGCTGGCATTCCTTTAGGCAATGGTAGCAAGTCAGCCATTTAACAAGCACTGGTTTCTTGGCTGATTTTCTCCATCCACCTCTTGAAATAAAGAATCATCAGTGTGGAGTCAGCACCATTTCCAAAGGGTCTTTTGGTTTTAATTTGGTAGAGTACAGAGTTTTCCAAGTGGTAAAATCTAAGAGTCAAGAGAATTAAATAAAATAACGACAAATTCCTTCTGTTACTTCTGGGCCCCCCTAGAAAGGGGCTCCGTCCTTGAATACTGACCACATCATTAAGTTCCAGTTTTCTCTGAAGAGTTCAGAGCACCAACTGGGTAGAATGTCTCAAATATCTTTGTACTCTTTTTCCAGAATCAAGAGGTTTCCTAGAATAGCAGTTAAGACAAAATGTCTGGGAACTTTACCAAATTTTGCCACACAAAATTTTGTCAACATGTCATGATAACTGAATAGTAGTGTATACTTAAAATGCTGATTAAGATTGTGGAAACTGGCCCTTCCTGGTGGTGCAGTGGGTTAAAGCACAACACTAAGAAGCAAATGCTACTGCAGCATGAGTTCAATTCCCGCCTGCCCCGGAGGTGACCACATGGCGTGGCAGACCTCTCCTGACCCACCCCCTGCTCCCCTCAGCAATGTACTTCATAGATCTGCCTGTTCTGCTCCCCACTCTGTCTCTGGTGAATCCTCTCACCACCCTGCACCTCTGGCCTGTACCCTAAATAAATCTTTAAAAAAAAAAAAGATTGTAGAAACAGATGTTTAAATTGAATGATTTATGAAAACATGAACAAAATTTAAATTCCTATTTTATTCCATCTGAACATTTCAATGTTTTCTTACCTGCTTGTATTCTTTCCAGATATATCTGTATATACCCATTCACCATTTGAATCTTCTTAATGACTTCATTCCATACCCACCATTTGCTGTGGAATCCATCAATCACATACCAGTTCTGATGCTGTTTTTCATAATATTGCCTAATTTCATCAATATTTTTATTGTACCTTGAGTTCTTGACTGCTATAATTTGTGCACTGTTGTGCAATGGATAAGGCAAACTAGAAAGAAAAAGAGAAGGAATGGAAAAAGCTCTTAGAACATACTCCTTCACTGGGTGGCTAAAACTCATTTCTTTACCACTGTTTTCATTGCATATTTTATTTACCTTGGTCCCTTTTTTTTTTCCAGGAACAGTCTTTTGAAAATCTCTTTGGAAGGCACATTCAACTCAAAGATGACCATTGGGATGATGGACCTGGCTTCCAAGATACTGACTTGATGGTAAGTTACAGGGTATCCATCAATGACAACACTAACAAGGAGAATAGTGAAAATAAAAACTCCAAACTTTTGTTTCTCTCAAAGCTTCCCTCTTGTCTTTTCAGAATCTATTTCTATAGCAGAAGTCCCCTGTTAATTAGCAACCTGATTTCTGCTCTTTGTGATTCACCCTCTACTTAGAGATAAGGGCAGCATATATACTAACACAACTCTGAATGTGTACACTTAGCATCCCAAGGCAGTCTTGGCAGGATGTAGGCAGTAACTCACGTCATATCTTGAACATGCGTTCGTATTCAATTGGTGCTGTTACTCTTCCTGTGACGGCGGTGGAAAGAGTGTAGGCCTCAGAAGCAGACAGACTTACATTTGAAGCTCAGTTTGATTTGATGTTTTTCCAAACCTCAGTTTTCAGTAAAATAGGGGAAATTAGACTCAACCTTTACAGTGGTCTTAGAGGTTGTACATCAGGGACAGGAAGCAACTATAGTAGGGCCTGGCACAATCAATAGCTTTTTAGTAAGAGATTAAGCAATATGGGAAAAATTGGTTCTAAACTTGCCTTCACAGTAAAGTTCAAGGAGGAGGCTGGAAGTCTAGAAAGGGAGATGCAGAGTTATGAGAAGTCTACCAAGAGATCTGGGTGGGAACCATCTCATCAGGACAAGCATGCCTCTCATCAGAAAGGATGGTGACTTGTGAGAGGGTTACTGTCAAACGGAGAGAAATAAAGGCCATCTACAAATTCTGGGATGAGTGGCCCCCAAAGTCAGGAAGCTCATGAGATCTGTGACAGGAGCAAGCTGAGCATGTCAGCTGCTGCTCTGGGCTGAGTCACAGGATGTCTTCCCTCACAACTCTCCAGCCAAACTGCCAGGCACTATTTTTACATTCCATGGCTGAAAGGGTTATAAATTAAGACGGCCAGCCAAGCTTAATAGAGAAGGTATGGGGTGCCATCATTGTTACTTGAATTGGAGAGTAGTTTAATGTCTCCATCTTGTGAAGAAAGGATTGCTTGAGTGGCCCTCAAGATTAGAGAAATTCATGGTGTGTGGACAGTTACAATCTTGTAATAAAGGGTTTGTGACTCAGTCAAGGTTGCCTTAATTGAAATTGCTCTTCTATAAAGCTGAAAACCAGGGAGGAAGTAACTCAATTTGCTTAAATCCAAGGATGCTCTGGAATCTGCTTCCCCATAACTGAAGTTAGAATTGTCCAAGAATTTGATTAAAGACCCATGGCAGGGAAGGGCATGGTAAATTACACTTATGAATAATTTAGGGGGATTCTAGGTCAGTGACCTGGACTCAAGAGCAGGACCTTAGGTTTCACTTGCTTTTTCTACTTGGGTTATACTGGGGGAGGAATGCTTGAGTGTAAACTAAAGAAATAATTCAAACATGAGCTCCCCTGTCCAAATCTGACCTTAAGGGAGCGGCACTGCTACCTGTGGGAGCAGAGAGCGGGCTCAGTGAGCAGCTGTATCTCCTGGGCCTGTTCCTTTGAGAGAAGGGGGAGGTCCAGTCCGTTATCACTTCATGGGGCAGTGAGATCCACTGGGCTGTAGAAGTCACACCAGCTTCCTCTTGGGCTATTTTGGCTTGTGAGTACTTGAGTCACAGGTTTGCTTGACAGAAAATTAAAATATGTGGCCATAGAGGTGCCCAAGTTTGAGAAGCAGGTCATACCTTTAACAAGAGCTTTAGAAGCTTTAAAGATTTTAACTGCCAGTGAGTAATTTCTTGAAAGATTTACTCCCTCTATCCTGGTACACTTACCCTACAGTATTGCATACACTTTCCATCAGAGATATTTCCAGGGCTTGAATAGCTAGTTCATCAGGTACTGTCATTCCTTTATGAAGATGCCACTTTAACATAATTGCCAGTTCTGTGTCTGGTTGGTTGTTTAATATATAACGCAAAGCATCTCCTACTGACAAACGCTTTAAACCATATTGACTTGCCAGTTTTTGGGCAACTGAAAAACATTAAAACCCATTCCATTTCATAAATCTATCAGTTAATTTTAGGTTTATATTCTAATTAATAACATAAAATTTTCATATTCCTCAAAGAAGTTTTTAAAGTTACAATTGGCATATTTTACTGAATTATTGTCAAAGGTCAGTCATTATTAGTATTTCGGGTATGTGGCTAGTGGATCTAATTAATAAAGCAGTGGTATTTTAAAGAAATAATTAAAACAATATTTAAATGTTTTCATTCTTCCAGAAAAGCAGAAACATTTTTGAGAGCTTTTCAAGGTATCCCATCTGTGCTAATAATGAGTATACTACCCTTGTATTACGTCCAAAATAACAATCTAACAGTCCTGTGTCCCTGGATTGTAGACTTTGCCCCTGTCTACCCACCTACTGACCCCAGGCTATTTTCAGACTAGCACAATTTATATAGTTAAGTACCAGTGAGCCCACTAAGAAATAATTTTTAAAAATGATAATGGCATACCTGATACCTTAGTAATTTAAAGCTTATGAGGCAATTATTTTTTGTGACCTTATTTGATATTTTCAACTGTTTCATCAGATGGGTAGAATTGGGGTTGAAATTCCAATTTTATAGATGAGAGATAGGATGTCTACTGAAATGGAATGACTTGCTCAAGGTCATATTGGTATTGTCATGGGTTGAAAGTAGATCTGCTTGGACCTCAGCTTCTCTTATTAGACTACAGGCAGTGGCTTCCAGACCGTGGTAAGTGTGTGTGTGCTCTGCTGTGGCTGAGATACCCTGTTGAGCACTTTGTGGAGACGAAAATGGGTAGAGGACACTGCAAGAGCCCCTCTCACCCATTGGGAATGCAGATTAACTGGCCACAGCTAAGATCAGCCAAAGGAAGCCCCTGGGGGACTACAGAGCCCTTAATCTCAGTTTTGCCTCAGCTGTGAGTTAGAATCAGAAAAATATTTTTTAATATAATTCAGCTTTTATAATTTGACATTTTGTCTAAAAAATAACCTCTATTTCAACAAAGAAATGAGAAAGCACATTATTTTGTCTAATTTTCACCTTTTGTTTGGGTTGTCAGGTCTTATTTTGAAAGCCAATGTTCTTTCTTTGAAAATATTATCTTTTTCAATATTTAGAATATGACTATTAATAACTCTTTTGTCATATAAAGAAGTTTAAATAGGCAAAACAATTTTTAGATCAAGAGCCAGAACACAAAGCTCCTTTTTTATTTCTGGTAACACATTAATCTTTGACTTCATTTCTCTCCATTCAGCCATTAAGTTCTATAGTTTTCCTTTGAAATATCTCTTGTATGTCCTTTCTGCTATTCTCATTGCTAGCAACCACTGTTCATGTTATTAATGTATCATCTTGAAAAAATATTATCAACCAATTATTGGATTTGTGGGTCTGCTAATTCTAGGTGGCTTAACCAGCCTCCATTTTATTACTACAGTTCTGTATTCCTAAAGCAAGGTCAGAATTGCCTGGGCATAGGAGCCCAGCCCTATGGGGTACCTTTCAAAGTAATTAAGAACATAAAGTCAGACCACCCTGGGAAGGGTATGCACCATGGGGTATGGCTGGGGATGCCCAAGGGGCTGAGGACAGATGCATATACTCACTCCTGACTTATACATCACAAGGTACAACCGGGAATGCCTGGAGGGCTGTTGAGTGATGTATGAAGAAGGACCCAAGAGCTGATCAGTGGGAATGCCTCATTGATAACATTAAAATCCTGACTGGGGAGTCAGGGCTTGATCTACATACCATGCAATCAGCAGATGAGAAGTACAGTTCTACCCTTCCCCTGCTTCTTCTGCTTCTCCCTCTCTTTTTCTACTTCCTCATATGACTAATGCTGTATGACTGGTTTATCAATAAAAAGGCCAGGATCTTGCTCTTCAGCAGCATCCTGCATTATGCAGCCTGCTCCACGCCTCCAGTCTCTTTATCAGTGTGGTGTTACTTAATGCAACAGGACTATCTGTGTCTAAAAAATGCCACAGACCTAAGTTATATCAAATTCAAACATTACAGTAATACAGTTTACCAAAATGCCTTCTAAAGCAAAGAGTAATATTATGGATTTTCACTCTCTAAATTATTAATAGTCTATTGTATTACAAAATCTGTTAATATAATAATTTTTATGCCAATATAAATTGTCACATACTGTTACCTGATAGTCATTTGTAGCTTTTTTTCCTTATTATCTTATATGATGGCTATGCTAATTTAAAAATGAATTTACTTTCTTTATATATTTTTGATTATATGAATTATACTCCTTAATAAAAAAGAAATTGGAAAAAAAATTGGGAAACATTGTTTTTTATCTCCTACTCTGGAAAAGCTTACAAAAACACAAGAATTATCTCTTGAGTCTGGACTATATTGGAATGAGGCTGCTTTTTGAATCTCTGCTCTTTAAAGGTTATCAACCTATAGATTTTCTATTGCTTTTGGATCCAACTCCAACGGTTAGCTTCCTGGAGAAAGGGCACTTGTTTCCAGGGATTATTTAATGCTTGAGGATAACAAAAGTAAGCACACCCTTACCTGTAGTTCTCCCAGATTTTGGTGGTCCCACAATTGCAATCCTAATGGGCATCGCAGGCTTAGGTTTGGGTTGGCGGATATATTTGATTGGGTTCTTCATAAATTTTTCTCTGGTTTCCTTACTAGATAAAAAATAAATGTACTGACGATGGATTACAGGATACAGTGGATTCTCTGGACTTTCAATTGGCTTAATTGTCTCTCCTTCACTTAGCTGCAACATATACAAGATTGAGTTTGTATGTTAGCTCTAATTTATATAGCATTTTCTTCAAATACCTTTAAAAATTGTAACTTAAGAAAAATTTTCTTACAGAATGAGATGACTAATACAATAAAATATTAATGTTAAAACTAAAAAGAACAAGTTATTTGCACTCACATAATTACTGTAATCTTTCTTAAATAGTTTTTAGTTTATGACAATGACAGCTTTTCTTCTAGCTTCACAATGTCTTTAGTCATATTGATTGTTTTTGTCAAGGAGTACAATGTTTGTAAACATGTCCATTGTTAATACGGCATTATGGATGAAAATGTGGTCCTCCAAAATAATGAGTGGAAGCTATAACCCCTGCCCCCTACTTCTGCTATGATCCCAACTGTGTTGGACATATGCCTTTTTTCCTCCTTAAATAGGATTCTTATTCTGCCTTCCTCTCATTTACCCATCTCAGAAAGGTTAGGGCATGACTATTATTGCTAAATAGGTGATGGTAATACCTGCTTAACTCTGTATTTCAATACAATATATTTTTCTATATTTCATCATAATATTTGAAAAGGTTTCTCCTGGCAATCTTAAAACATGATAAAGAAAGCAGCATGGTACAATCAAAACTGATTGGGTCAATATCAACCAAGCTAGCATTAGGTTATCTCCATAAAAATAGAGACACATTAAACTCAACTACTTTTCTCACTTTAGAAAGGCAAACAACCAGACATTTTTATAGCTAGTTAAGAATGTACAACGCTTATGATTTTTTGACAAATTATCCACTGTCTTCTTAGATATTAAAAAAAAAAAGGAAATAAGAGAAAACATGATTTCAGATGCACTTGCTGTCATTACCTTTACAGGGTCCCAGTAGCCAAAAGAGCTTATATACTTATAGGTAAAACTGAGCATTTTCTGGGCAAGGTGTGATGATATTGGATAACATTTCTCAAAAATGCTTGCACGATTCTCCACCAGTGATTTCAGCTTCATATTTAAGGCATATTGTACAATGTGCATCTTCCGAGCTCCATTAATGAAAATTACTGGTATCAAAAACTTCTCAAATTCATCCTGATGAGAAAAAAAATCAGAAAGCCAATGTTTTTCATGGGATAAAAGCTGGTGACATCCAGTCACGGAACACATCCTTGCTGATGACTGATGACCACTCAACTTCTGAATGGCTACACACTGGCAACTAAATCTTTGATCCCAGGTAGTTTCCATATGGCCCCTGGCACATTAACTTGTTTGAATAATTGTAAGCAGTGCTGGCAAAAGGAAATACAGTCCTAAAGTACACATTTCTTTTGAAATGTTAAAAGAATATAAGATATAAACCAAATTACTTTTTCCATTCTCAAATGTTACTTTTTGAATTATGAAAAATGAAGAAAAAATAACCTGTAGTATTTGTAAGTTTGCCATATCTGCTTCGAATTTTTCTCCAAGTTCACCTCTCAGGCGTTCAAGTGCATCAATTTCCTGCTCTTCCTCTTCCTCACTCATCGCTTCCTCATCTTTTGGAAACTCATCTTCAAGGATGTTTTCAATATCATCATCATCTTCAAGGTCTTCTTCACTAAATTCATCATCGTCTCTAATGAACTAAGGAAGAAAAGGTTCTCCTCTACTATACACATGAAATATGTAACAAAAGACACTGCTATATAATCATTTGAGATATTTAGAGAGAACTGGCCATTATATGGCAACACCCCTACATTAACAGAAAAAATTTCAATATGTGGTACTCAGAAATTTAATACCTTCAAGACTCTGACATGACAGTGAGGCAGTAAGTAAACAGACAAGCTATTAAACGTTATAGATATCAGAATGTCACAGATAATGCAATTCAAGTGTATAAAACACTTACTACCTATGTAGCTTGGACATGATCAGTTTATGAGGTACATACCTCACAGGGTTAGTGAGAACATTAGTTAATACATTCAAAGTCTGTAGAAAAGTGTCTGGCATGTGGTAAACATGCAAGAATAGCTTTATAACTATACCACGATAGCTATTACTATCACTTTATATAAAGTACTGTATTATTAGACTAGTCTATATCCTTTAAGATATTACAGTCCCCCTGAGGAAATAGAAATAATACAGAAATGTTTATTAAAATCCAAGACAGGGTATTAGTGATACATGATGTCATAGGCGTTAAGTGGTATGCAGTTTAGTTTGCAAAAAACCGAGCCCTATAATATTCATCTTTCTACACTACCTACACTCTGTTCTCCCTGAAGTATTCCTTGTCTCAACTGAAGTTCCCTTTCTGGTTAGAATCCTGGAAGTTATCTTGGCTCCTTGCTCTTTGTTACTGCACATAATATGAAAATTATACTCAAAATTCTTTTATTCCTCCCCACTCTTCAGTTGCTTTCCACACCCACTGTCAGTATGTCGTGCCTGTAATTTTCTGATTAGTGTGTTATTGTCTAACCTTTGTAACTGTTTGACCTCAGTTCCTTTAAAAGGTGCCTACAGCTGGGATTTGAACTGGAAGATACAGGGAGGAAGATGAGAGGTTAAGGGAGTTTATATTTGGTGTCCAGTCTCCTTTCTTACAGAGCTTAGCTACTGGACAGTATGGGCATATCATGACCAAAATCTTGAAAAGCAAAGATACAGAGAAAATTGAAAAGCTGTCAGAGAAAAATAATACAGGAGGACAATTTATCTTTCTGGTTTCCATCAGTTCAGAGGAATAAAGGGCATGAGAAATGGTAAATATATGGATAAAGGTAAAAGAATTTATTTTTAAAAAAGAAATCTTTATTGAAAATACATATGAAATTTTGTTTAAAACAGACATTTTTTTCCTGTGGAGTTTATATTTGGTGGTAAAATATGATAATTAGTATATAAAGGTTGATGGTTGAATAGGGTAGATGTAAAGACTACATTGTTCCAAGTCTTCTACAATATTATATAGTATACTACTGACTTCAAGCAGAGTGCAAAAAGCTAAGGATGTGTAAGTCACTCGAGCACACCCACCAAAAAAATAATGCCTAGAGTTACAACAGAGAAGTCAATCAGTAAATAAACATTGACTATATCTATCTAAACTGTATTCAATTTAGATGAAACAGAAAAGAGGGGACAAAGAAAAAACAAAACTCATGATTTCAGAGAAACAGGACTCAGTTTGGGGTAAATGTGTCACAGCATTCTGTCAGGAGGGGAAAGCAGAGGGACGTCTCTGTCTGGGTAGAAGCCTAGGAGATGGAGATTATTGTCAAAATACTTACAACTAGGGAGAATATGAGAGGTGGAAACGAAGAAACAGAAGAAATAAAAGACCTGTCGGAGGCCTTTCTCAATACAGTTTTTCAGACACTAGCTTCTCTTAGTACACTGGGGACTGAGGATGCCTTGTAGTTCTGGATTTTGAGACCCGATTTGAACTATTTGGGGGTTTTCAGTGCCCACCTCCAGCCTGTACACTCCTTGCACACGTTTGCTTGCTGTTCTACCCCAAAGTGCCCTCTGCCCTTTGATCTGTGAGCTGACACACTCTGACTTCTCCCTGGAAGCTCCCAGGGATGGTCTTGGCCGCTGCTAAACATTGTTCCTGCCTCAGCCTGACCTGACTCTGGCTTTCCTCAGGACTGAGGCTGTGTTGTTTTGCTAAAACTGCCCTGGCTCCTTGTTCTGCTTTGTTTAGCTTTTCCCTCCACACCTGTGGCTACCCAACACAGGTGTAGAAGAGACCCGGGCACCGGGGAAGGAGTCAGTGGACAGGCAGAGGAAGAAGTCAGAGCAGAAGTTAGGCCACTGAGAAGTGGAAGCTGTACAATGTAAATCTCAACACGAAAGGATATGTGTGTAGGACAGTCTTAGTCATAAAAATTCCACAAGATGGCAACATTTCCCTGAAATTAGTGATAATCTGAGCAAAATGAAACTTTGGAAGTGATTTCTAATGTTAAAAATGTTTTATCTGCTGCCAAGATGTCAGGCAATAAAAAGGCAATGGTTTTGATTAAAGGCAAGAGGACAAACCGGGGAGGGCTTTATCTCCCCGTGGTTTCCTGGCTAGTCATAAAAAGGTGAGCTGCTTATTCTGTACAAAGAGGCAAATAAAATTCCCATGTCTGTTCATGAAAGCTAGTTCCTGAGTGATGTGGAAACCAGGCAGATGCTACTCAGAGTGTCTCAGTAACTGATCTGAGCTGTCACATTAGATGTGAGCCTATATTTTATTCAGTCTTTCTTGTATGAGGAAGAGGCAGGATGTATTTTCAATAGTATCCACTAATGGGCTGAATTTCATAGATTTTCAGAACATATTTATTTAGAGAATGATAAGGCCAGAGAAACCTCTGTCAATTTTATTCACGGTTGATTCTCCAGGACCTAGAGGGTATTGCGCATAAGCCAAATGGGGAAAGACAAACACTGTTTGATTTCACTCATGTATAGTACATAGGGAAAACAAATGAAGAGATGAACTACGTAAAACAAAAGTAAATTTTTATATTATAAGACCACTTAATGGTTGCCACAGAGAAGTGGAAAGGAGTAGGTAATCAGGACAAAGAGAACAATTGTTTGGTGATGGATAAAGTTGGGCTTAATGTAGTATATACACACACTGATTTTCAATGGTACATACTTGATACTTTGCTGTAAGGTAACGTCAATAAAAAATAAAATAAAATACTCTAAGTGCTGAATAAAGGTTTGATGATAGACCGACTGACTGACTGAATGAGTAAAGGTCAAGGCAAATACTGAAAGAGAAGAAGACGTCTTGTTTTGTAGATGGTGACACAATATTCTCAGTTTAATCATTTCAGATGTACTTTAGGTTCTATGTATTTTGGACCAAGAAATGATCGTTTCAACTCCTTTTCTGCAATGTTTTAACCTACTGTTACACTTTATCTGTATATAAAACAAACATGTCTTCACCAGAGTAATAAGTCCCTTCCTTCGTCGTGTTGAACATTTTTATAAGGATGAGTATATGATTATTGGAGAGTCAGCCTTGAAAGGATGCTACAAAGAGGCATTAAGCCAGAGGAAATGAAAGGAGGCAGGCTATTCTACCATTTGCCTGGGCTACGACGGTTACTTATGAGCCGGCTGTCTAAATCTGAGCCTTATGTCTTTTATAGAACTCACTTGTCTGGGTCAGCAGCACAATTTAGGAATAGCTCCTTGCTAATAAACAAAACCAAACCTTCGGTCTTCAAGGTTTTTTTTTTTTTTTAAATATCAGTAGATGGAGTGGAGCTGTGCTGGGTCCCTGCACAGTTCATGACTCCGAGCTTCACAAGCTCTACCCCATTCCATGCTTGATCACCAGACAGTCTATATTTAGTTTCTGCACATCTTCACACATTCTCAAACCTCCCTGCCCATTTCCCCCCTTAAGACATGGGCTGCTACTGACAAAACCAAAAATGAAAATCCAAAAGCAGCATAGTCTGATTTAATTATATCTTATATTAGATTATTTGAACATCTTTAGTGGTTTTATTTCCTTACAAATATTCACTTCTCTGGCTATAAAAATAATAGGTCACTGTAAACATTTATGAAATACCAAAATTATAAAGAAAATAAAAACATATAATCTCACAGTTGCATATAAACTAGGTATTTCTTTCAAGACTTTTTAATGCATCTTTTTATTTTACACTATATAGTATAATTATCTTTATCTGTCTAAATATGTATACATGTATGTACATGTATATGTATTTATATATATCTATCTATCACCTACAGAGAGAAAGAGAAGGGAGGGAGGAGATAATGAGTGCACTGCTTTAAAATTTTTTTATTTACGGGCCCTCCCTGGTGGCGCAACAGGTTAGGACCCAATACTGCAAGCTGCTCTCAGCAGCTTCAGCATGAGTTTGATCCCCACCTCAGAGGTGATCCACATGGCATGGTAGACCTCTCCTATCCTGCCTGCTGCTTCCCTCAGCAGTGTACTTCATCAGTCAGCCTGTTCTGCTCCCCACTCTGTCTCTGGTGAAGCCTCTCACTATCCCTGTACCTCTGGCTTGTACCCCAATAAATCTTTAAAAAAAAAAGAAAAACAATTAAAAAAATTTTTTTTAAATTTACTTACATCTTTCCTTTTGCCCTCTCTCTCTGCTATGAGTTCTGCCCTCCTTCTAGAAATCCTATCATTCTGTTAAAGAAAGAGATGTTTAAAATGTTTAATAAATGATGGTAAAATTACTTTCTATGTATTAACATTTTCCCCCCTCAAAGTGAGAATAACACTTAGGTGAAAGGAAAGTGAATTTTCTGGAAAAGTATGTGTGATGGTGGTAATTCTGTTGCTGTATACTCATAACTCTGGATCTCTTGGCCAGCTACTATATATATATATATATATACACACTTTCATATTCTGCTCAAAACATATTGCTGGGCAGAGAATATTACCCCATTTCATAGGTGGTTAACAGAAGCTGAGCATTTAACTAATGCGATATCATTCTTTCAACTAATGGTGTCCCGAAAAGGAGGGTGGTCACTGTCAACACAGGCTGACAGGAAGCTGAAGCCTGACACTGCAGCTATTTTGATGTAGGTGATGAAAGTATTTACTCATTTTCGCAATGTCCAGGAGTCGCTCAGCTAGTTTCTGATTTCTTTCAGAGCAAACTGCTCTATGTGTGGCTGTGACCTTGGTGTGCCCACGGAGGGAAGGAATCAGGAGGTCCCATGCTGCTAACTTGGGCCAGGACCAGCATACCCTGCGTAGACACCCTGTGTCCACCATACTTTGCTCATTTATTCATCAGTCGGTGAACAGTGGGTTGTTTCCACTTTTTGGTTATTATGAATATTCACGTAAATTTTTATGTGGGACAGGTTTTCATTTCTGTTAGATAAATTCTTAGGAGTAAAATATTGGGTTCCTTGACACTTTTGAACATTTTATGAGCTATTCCTTAGATTAAAGTTTTAGAAAAGATGTTCATAGCTAATATCTGGACCTGTTTGACTGTAGCTTATATCACCTTGAAGGATTATGTCAGAATTCTCAGAGGCAGCACAAAAAGCACTTACTTAAAGTTTTAATTCTTTGTGTTTCAAGGTTTGCTCTACTTGTTGCTTCTTCTAATTTGTTCCTGTGTCTGGTAAAGGGATATTCTGGTGCTACCACTATCCTTAATTGTATGTGCCTTTGAGAGAGAAGCCTTGGTATGCTGATAATCACAAAGGTCTCAAATAATTCTTAACTTTTACATTATAAACAGTAAGTATCTGAGAGATGTTTTCATAATGAATGTCATATCACCATTAAAAACTATTCTTTTGTAAAGACCACTGTATAAATTGAATAGATGTTGAACATAATTCCTTCAAGATTTTTAAGTAAATACCTTGATTTTTGCTTTCATTTCTTTGATTATGTTTTTCCTTTCTAATTTCTTCTTTTGTTTCAGTTTCCACTTTTTAATTTGGGAAGGAAGAAGGCGATCAGAAATATCTTGATCATCAACTTGTATAAAAACAGCAGCATCTGGGAAAAACCCATGTTCCCCCAGAAACTGGATCTCATCAAGATATCGTGGGAAACCATCTAATATAAAACCTGTGGAACTAGGTAGATATTTCATAATTTCACTTTATTTGCTGAAAATATTATAAATAGCAATTAAAATGGAAACATTGATAAATCTTTATACAAAATACTCGACAATTAGTTTAAAAGATTACTATAGTGTCTTTTATTTCTTTCAGTATTTCTACTTTTGAAAGACTGATTTATAGGAAACTAAGGGATCTTTGTCATTCCAATATTTTTATTTTCATTCATATTTGGTCTTCATCTATATTCCTGCCTCCCAGGTAGCAAATGCCTTGAAATTTTCTAATTGTTGAGAGTGACAAAGGGGTTTTTTGCTATGCTAAGAAGATGACTTATATATGAAGCTAGGAGAGACAAACAAATGCAGGAAAAGAGCTAACTGGCATTTAACATCTTGTTTTCTTTTTTATTATATAAGCAGATATACATATTGGTCACAAGATATGTATCTTCTTCTTTAGTGCCGTTTCCTCTGCTTTAGATGTCCCTTACTTGTCAGTGGCTCCTAAATTTTTCCCTCTCCATGCAACCACTTTTCTGATTTTGAATTCAGATTTTTCAAAAGGTGTTTAGTTTCTCTACTTGAGAGAAACTGCACATGCATTATGTTGTCAAAAGTCATATTAATTGCCACCCTTCCACATTGCTCTTTCTTTGGATTAGGGTTCAGTTTCTGAACTTCAGAATTATTTCAGCCCTCTCCCTCAACTTCCTTCTGCTTCTCACATGTAACAGCAAAGTCCTGACTATTGCCACATTTCCATTTCTATTATTGCATCTTAGTTTAGGCCCTTGCTATATTTCCCAGTACTAATACAACACCAGTCTTTTAAATATGTGTTGATATCCCCCCTCCAATGATAAAAGCAACAAGTCTCACTATAGAAAAATTGGAAAATAGAGATAAACATGAAAAAGGCAAAATTATCACTAGCCTCATATTTAAGAGGCTATCAATATTTTGCTTTCTTTTTTTTCAACTTGATTTTCCCAGTCCACCTCTCTACTATATTATAAATCACATTTCTGATGCTAGTACAACTTCTTTATTATAATACATTTTAATGCTTGCATAATATTCAGCTATTATATTTTCAGGCCTTTACAATTTCCCTTATAACTTCTAAGAATGTTGAATTCTCCAATGTATATTCTTTTTAAAATATGTATAGTGTGAGGATGGGAGCTAGATGAATGAGGAAAATCCCATGACTATGTACTGCCGGTAACCTGCCAAAATTTCCTCCAACTAGAGATTTAATTTTGGGAACAAAATTAAAAAAAAACTGAATAAAAAAACCCGCAGAAATTAAGGTCACTGATTAATAACCCCATTCACTCATCTAGGCTATGTGCTAAGTGAAAGAGAATGTTCAGAGGAGCACGGAGACTGGCTGCCTCTATTATATAGTTTCTTATCTCCAAAGTGAGAGAATAAATTTTTTTTTTTTGAGAGAATAAATTTTTATATACCTTATTGTAGTTGTAAGAATAGAGTAAATTTATGGGGATAAATTTAAGTAGAGTAGTAACTGAAAGTAAGTTCTATTTTAGAGTTTGCTGTTACCAGTACTATATCATTTCATTTGCTTCTGTTGGGTAGGAAATCAAGCTAAAGTTTTAAACTGGGGTAATCTAGAGATTCTTAAATTTGTCTGTCTGGATTAGCCTGTTCCAGTTCCTGGTTGAGAGCTAACATTATGCACAGCTATGCTAAAAAGGGGGGCTCATGTAAAAATTTTAAAAGACTTTCAGGAAAAAGGTCTAGCACCATACTGTCGTACATGGGTTTAGAACCTGTGTTCTCAAACATGGCTACAGATCAGATTCAGCTTGGAAGCTCTTAAAGATACCAATTTAATTCCTAGCCTCACACTCCTATAAGTTTTGATTCAGTTGTTTTGGGTGGAGTCCCATCCATCATTATTTTTTTCCCCAGTAATTCTCCAGATGTTTTTGATTTTCAGCCCAAGTAAAAATCAATTTAGTTTACATACAAATTAAAGGAGAATTTTAAAAATATATGTTTAATTACATTTTAACTTTTCTGAATAAAGCAAATAAAAGTATACAAATTGAGATACCGTATTGGTTCCTTAAGCCACCATTCAGAAAGAATAGTTTCAAGAATTTCAGGAGGCAATGACTCATTTTCCATTATGCTTGCTTTTATTGCTTCTTCTTCTTCAGTAAGTTGTACTTCTGGAGTCTAAAAACAAATATCCAAAAACAAAATAAGAAACGTAAGACTCCATATTAATAACTAATATTACATTACAAAGTTTTTTTTTACATAATTAAGATGAAACCTGTTTATTTTGGGTCACTTTATGTTGTCTGTAAATACTTCAAATTTGAGTTCCTTAAGTCAGTATTCAATATGGTTTTCATAAGACAGTATATCCACTATAGCTAAGAGGAATTATTAACAATTAGTATGACTGACTTTCATACATAGTCTCAGGATACCTGACCCATCACTTTTTGCCAAAACCTTGTTCTAGTATAAAATACATCTGTAAGTCTTACCTGAATTGTCATATACCTTATAGTTATACGATCTAGATCCTAATCAACGGATGGGTCAACCAGGCATTCATCTGAAAAACAAGCTGTACCTGTTTCCATTTACAGGGCATTAGGTAAGGAGAAAGGTCCTAGCTTTGGTTAAAAAGTGAGTTAAAGAACTTACTTTTTTACAACCCTTGATAGAACCCTTCTAAGAGATCCACACAAACTTATGAGGCATCATTAGAAATAAATATTTTGAGATTTCTGTTGGTGCTGGGACAGATTTTTATGATTTTTTTTTTTGTAGAAAACTGAAAACCCAGTAATGGGTCTAGGACAGATATTTCAAATAACAAAGTCCCAAACAGATCCTATACAACTGTCTTGTCAGGGAGTCACGTAAAACTCAGTATTTTATATTCTAGGTGAGCAGTTAAGGCTTCAAGATACTGGGAGGATGACTTGTAGAAATGGGTAGTTTTATACAGCTTATATTCTATTTCCTAAAAGCAGTAATAGTAGGCACAATTATCTGCAAAGAGAATATTAATTTTACCACCGGCTTCTTTGGATTGTCATCCTTGAGTGTAATGTTTGCTTGAATTGCAAGCTCTTCAATTTCTTCTTTTGCGAATTGTTCTTCCTCAGACTCTTCTTCATATTCAGGTCCAACTTTCTTTTCAAGTTTGACCATTAGTTTTTCTTGAAGAAATTCTTCAAACTGAATGTGAAAAATCCCTAATTTTTCTGCCAATTGTCTTCCACAGACAGTTTTTCCAGAGCCATGGGGGCCTAGGAGGCATATTCTTAGTGGAGGAGCCTGCCATAGTGGGATGAATCAGGGGAGATGGGATAGAGGGGGCAGAAGAAGGGAAGAAAAGGAAATTTTGAGTAATTAAGAAAATGTAAATCTTATTAGCTGTCTTTCCTAAGACTGAGTAGGAATTACCACCTCACAAACTCACAGCAGGTTTTGACACTAGCATATCCATTAATGCAATTCATTGCAAGAATAATGGTCTTCAGGAAGTATCAATAGGACACATTAAACTTCATCTTGCTGTTATATACCAAGAGGTATTTAATAAAATAAAAGGTTTGTTTTTAAAAAATGGTGGGGAACTAAGGAGCAGGGCCCTAATGGCCTTTGGTGGTGGGTAATGTGGTCTGAATAGCTGTGAACCTCTTCCCCTAAATCATACACAGTGTTATAAACCAAAGTTACCACAAGAAAAAAAAAAATGTTATCAAAAACAAGTAGAAAAAAAATTCTAGTTAAAATATAGAAAGGCATCCTCTTAGCATGATTTTAAACACCCACCAAACTCTTTACCAATGAAAAAGCCAATTAATAATGACATGCTAGAGCTACTGTCTTCAAGGTCTGTAATTTTCATATTGGAGATGAGGAAACTCAAAGCCACAGAACCTACAGAGATCTGCTGTACAGACTGTCCACTGGAGTCTGAAATTGACAGTGGTGAGTGATAGGATGAAGTAGCAGGTAAGTCTATTGTGAATGTGGAATGGCTAGAAAATTGGTAGGTGACAGAAGGGAGAAGTGGGGAGACCGTGATGGATGCAGAGAGAGGGCCTCAAAGGGACTGGAAACAGTGGATTATGAGCTGCAGAGGGAAGCTGGGAGTATGGCCTCAGTGCTTCTGCCCTGGTGAAGGGGACATTCAGAGAGATGTTTAAAAGTGAAGGAAAACAGTATAGCAAAGAAATACAGAAGAAAGAGGATCAGATAATTGGGGGTATAAAGAAATATTTCTATTTTTAAAGACACCTAAGTAGTATAAGAAGATAGCACATCCACAAAAGAAGAGGGTATTTGAAAAGAGAACTATCAAGATTAAAGAAATATTGGTTAGAAATTAAAAATATGATTACTGAAGTAAGAAGCTTATAGAAAAGTGAAATCCTAGAATTACTTAGGGTGGAAACATGTATAATTGATTGTCCAGCACAATGAATGAAAAGGTACTGGACAATTTTAAGGAGAAATGAAGAAAATATTTTTTTTTTAAGATTTATTTATTTGTGCATACAGAACTGGGGTACAGGCCAGAGGCTCACGGGCGGCGAAAGGCTTCACCAGAGACAGAGTGGGGAACAGAACAGGCAGATCAATGAAGTACACTGCTGAGGGGAGCAGCGGGCGGGTCAGGAGAGGTCTGCCACGCCATGTGGTCACCTCCGGGACAGGTGGGAATTGAACTCATGCGGAAGTGACTTTAGCTTCTCAGTGCTGTGCTTTAACACGCTGCGCCACCAGGGAGGGCCTGAAGAAAATATTTTAAGGACGTTCAGATTTTTAAAACATAGATGATGTGCTATGGGATGAAAATCAGCATGGTCAACACTAGATATCAGCATACAAACAATATTTTCATATTTCTGAGTCATAGAGTGGCACCTTAATAAACATTATTAAAAAAAAAAACCCAAAACAATACTTTTAATATTCTGAAAAGAAATTATTTTCAGCCCAGAAACCTATGCCTTATATACTTACTACCAAACATGTGAGAACCAAATAATGACATTTTCAGATAGGAAGAAATTTAGCTGAAAAGCTGAAATGTGTTTCAGCCAAACAAGGGTTTAAAAACTCACAAAAGAAAGAGGAAGACATTATAGAACATATCTGTTGGTTTTGCCACTCAGAATTTATTTACTTTTCTGTTACCATTCTCTGAATCCCCCTGAATACCCTTTTTCACCCTCAGTTTATGTGCTCAGTGGAATGGATTCCACCATTAGATCAAGAATTGGGCATGTGACAAGATTTAAGTCAAGGCATCATTTCAGAAAATGAAAGAGTGAAAAACAGAATGCTAAATAATGAAAAATGAGTGGAGTGAGATTATGTAGCCGCAGTCTCACATCACGTTTCCTTGGAGATGAAACGTCTACAGGAATCCACTGCTCTACAGCAGCTTTAACCTCTGGCAACTAGAGCGTATTGCAGAAGCTGGGAAGTGAAGGGAAATGTTGCTGCAGACTGAAGCTCTTAGTGCTTTGCTGAAGAACTGTGGAAGAACCATCAAGATCTCTGACTTCACTTACTGGGGTTCGTGTAAAACAAGGAAGCTGATCCAAAGCAGCAAAGCAGCCTAAGAAAGGAGACAACAAAAGGAGACAAGGCCTCAGCCCCAAATGCATCTTAATACCAGCAGTGCAGAAAGGCCTGACCATCCACATACTTCAGTGGATCCCGTCGGCACCTTACAAAACTGAGGTTCATTGAGATATTTCATCATCCCAAGAATTTAAGCTGTGACCTGTATGTTCTGTTTATGAAAGTACTAGTGTTTTCAAAAGAATGAAGATATATTGTGACTGATCTATCTTGATTTATAATCTCATTCTAAAAAATTAAACTAATAAACCAAGAGGAACAAAGACCGCTGTGCTCGAGGATTTTCTAATACCCACAGTGAGAAAAGGGCACTGTGAAAAATACCATGGATAGGTGTTTAGCAATGAATTAGATATTAAAATATGTTGAAATGTGGCTTCCCTGGTAGTGCAAGGAGTAAAGACAGTTATCAAGCTATTGCCAGCCACTGCAGCACAAGTTCTATCCTTGATCCCTGATGGGCCACAGAGCTAATCCACATCATGCAGCAGACCTCTTCTGTCTCACCCAATGCTCCCCTTAGCAGCGTATTTCAGTAGATCTGCCTGTTCTGCTCCCCACTCTGTCTCTAGTGAATCTTCTCACCTCCCATACACCTGTGGCCTAAACCCCAGCTCTTGTATGCATAAATAAGTAAGTCCTTATAAAATGTTGAAATGATTAAACATTAGTAAACTTATGCAGAGATATTTGAAAATGCACACACCAGAAAGACATCCTTGTAGATGAGAACAAGAAAGTAAAACATAAAAATGTGGACTCTTGTCTAACACAGTGTAATATGTGCTTCATTTTAAAAAATGAATAAAATTTTGCCATAACATGATTTTTTACAATCTCCGTGATAATGTATACATAACATAAAATTTTTCATTTTAAACAGTTTTAAGTGTACAATTAGATGGCATTAAGTATATTCATAATGTTTTATAATCATCACTGCTATCTCAGTCTAAAGACTTCTAATCACTCAAATTGGAACTCTGTATACTTTAAATAATGACTTTCATTCTCTCCTACTCTTGGACAAATATTCTATCTACTGTTTGTTTAAGTTGCCTTGTATAAGTGGAATCATCCAGTATTTGTTCTCTTGTCTTTGGCCTTTAACAAGTATTTTTTAAAAGAAGATAGAAAGTTGTTCTAATGATGATAAATAAGAATAAAAAAACCTTAGAATGGATTGTTCTGCAGTCTTGGGAACAAGAACCATCTGAACCGGTTTTGAAACAGTTTAACTGACAAGGTCTGTTCACCTCAGGGAACACTGACTTACGGTGTCAGGCCTTGCCAGTCAGGCTTGGACGTGCTCCCGCCTCTGTTTTGAACAAGTTGAGAGAACAAGGTCTAGACCCCCCCAGTTACTGAGTTACCACACTTTTACAGATGATGTCAACCCACTCACACCTCTGAAAGTCCATCAGCCTCTGAATCCCAACTTTCCCAAATCCTGTGTTTAGCAAATTGCTCTGTTCAGAGAAATTAACAGTAGAGCTGGTCATTCACATAATAAGTTGTGGGTTTTTTCACTTCAGCTAAAATGATACTACGTGTTGCTTAAACACAAGGCATTACTGGAGAAATCAAAGTGGATACTTACTTTATGTTGTGTTCCAAAAAGGTTGTTCTTGGAACTAGATATTTCCATTATATCAGAGGGGGAACTTTATGATGAAATAAATGAAGGAGGTTGGTCTCAAGTCCCTAAGAAAGTACTCAGGAACAATCAATAGGATAGGGATATTTTTACCTTTAGTGGCTCTTTATGAGCCACATATTCCTCAGGATGCTCCAAAAACTTTTCTTTAGCCTCAGGAGATGAAAAGTAATAGATCTTTTCCCTATATTTAACTGCTTCATCTATGTTGCCTGGTTGTAGGATGAAGTTTTCTTTGAGAACCACTGGACAAAAATGCTTTGAATCTCCCAAATGCCTTTTCTTCTCTTTAACTCTGTCTTCATTCTGAAAATAGTATTCAAAGTTGGGAAAGCATTAACAAAGAGCATATTGAAACAATGCTAAAGAGAAAATTAAAAATAATGCATCTTGAATAATATTTAATTCATAACACTCTATCTTTTTGAAAAATTTTCAGTATTTAAAAAATATATAATAGTTTATTTTTACATCATTTTGTGCATTTTTCCATCTCAGTTGCAGTCCTCCTGGGCTTCCCATCACCAAATCACCCATATGCCATCACCATAGTCCAGTGCATTTCCCTCCCCCGCTGTTTTTTGATCCCATTCCCCACTCCACCCCCACAAAATGTCTCTGGTATATAGCTATTCATCATTATCATTATTTTCTCGCCTGTTCTGTTATATTCCTGCTATGAGAGAAGCCATCGGGTATTTTTCCTTTTCTTTCTGGCTTATTTCACTAAGCAGGATATTTTCCAGCTCCATCCATGTTGCTGCAAAAGA